GTGTTATTCAGATAAGCAGTCAGGATATCAAAAGACGAGTTGTAAGGGGAAAATCTGCCATCAAGAATCTCTCTAGAGTGCAAAAGAGCAACAATACTAGTTTAAAGACTAAGGTGCACCTGAAACAGGCCACAGTCTTCTCGATTGCTTGCTATTCACCTGAAAGCTGGACAATGAGTAAGGACAAAAGAAGAATCAATGCCTTTGAGTTGTGGTGCTGGAGAAGAGTACTGATCATACCACAGACTTCCCAGAGCAATCGTTCTGTCCTGGAGGGTGAAACCAGTTTGCACCTTGGAGGCAAGGATTCTGAAGCTCTGTCTCACATACATTGGGCATGTTGCCAGACCAGTCCTTGGAGTAAGTAAGACATCATGCTTGAAAGAGCCGAAGGTTAGTGCAGAAGAGGCAGACCCTGGATGAGAGAGTCTGACACAGTGACTGTGAAAGGGGTTCAGGTGTGTCAGAGATAGTGAAGTTGGCACAGGATGGCAGGATTCAGAGCCATTGCTCATAGGACCGCTATGTCACCTAGTTGACTTGATAGCACAGAACAACACCAGACGACAGAGGTTTCTCTTTTCTGTTGATCTTCTTAAGGCCTGTGTTCCACACATGTTGTGAGACAGTGATTAGGAACTGACTCATAGCTGACCCTCCAGCGAGTTTTCAGAGGCAGTAAATCACACAGGAGTCAACTGTCCATCCTCCTCCTGCAGAGTGGCAGGTGGATTCAAACCATGTACCTTTTGGGATGGTGGAGCCACTTCTTACCAGAAGGCCACCAGAGCTCCCTACGTTCCACACACAGCAAGGGGTTAATGATGGGCCAACAACAGGCTGTGACAGAGAACTGTGAACAAATCCCATCAGCTGCCCATAAGCCCCACAGGTGTACATCTGTGCCACCAATGTCCCCGTGCTCTTTTGTCCACTAGCTGTCTATCAATTGACAATGACCACTCTAAATATTTCAGCCCTCCAGCCGACATCGATATTGGCCATTTGTAGATTTTGCTTCTCATTAAAAAGAGTTGGAGGGGGGAGTGTCCATCAGAAGCTATAGTTGGGAATGGACAAAAGTGCCTGCCTGCCTGCCTGCCTGCCTGCCTGCCTGCCTGCCTGCCTGGTAGAAGTGTCACTGCTCCATGGAGCTGGGGCAGCTCCACTCTGCTTCCGGCCAGGCTGGTAGGAAGGTAAGTGCTCACTGTGTGAGAACACAAGGGGCTGTAGCATCGCATCGACAACTTCAGCAGCCGAGAGAGATTCCCTTTCCGTTTGCTTGTGAGAGGCTTCCTGCATCCTGACCTTTGGTGACTTTAGAATGTTCTGGCAGCAGCTGGAACCAGGGATCATCTTTTCAGAAATCTTGCCTGGCGTCACTCCGTGACTTATCTTTCGGTCCTCATCACGATTATTCATGCTTCGGCAGTATCCTAGCTACAGTCACAGTCCTCTTCTTGGACTCAGACTGAAGGTTATGCTGTCCCAGCTGGTGGGCGAGGAGGGTAGCCAATTCTTGGGGACCCCCGGCAGCAGGGTGCATGATCCCTTTGAGAGCATGGGTACTGAACACTTGCTCAGAAACCCACCTGACCTCCAGCCCTTGTGAACAAAGAGGGAAGACGAGCTCCTAACAGCAAATGGTCCCCAAGGGGTGGAATTTGGCTTTGGAATGCACTGAAAGGCACACTAGGTCAGGCAAACTCAATGCTAAACCCCACCAGCTGTCTCTGAACTGGGAGGCTCTGTGAAGACCCAATCTTTACCTCTCCATTATGGATGGCAAAATACTTTCCTCTCTCTCTCTCAATATCCTGTGGCTTCTGCTTCCTGCTTTATACATTTAAGGTTCCTTTAGAATATGACCTCATATCCTGGCCAATTGCAGAGCAGCCACTAATTGCTGGGGCTCTGCTAATGGCCCACCATACGTCTATATGTGCGGGCAATGGGTTACAAGCAACAGATTCCAGAAGGTTAGCAGGCCTGGCCAAGAGCCGGGAATCTGGAAGTACACAATTAGATTTCAATCTTGGAGGAGCTGTGTTTTTCTAGGTAACTCACTTAACGTCTTTGGGCCTGTTACCCACCCCATCTGAATGGGAATCACGGCAGCTCATACTTCATCGGGTTGTTATTGCCAAGATTAAAACTGGGTTATGATTGAACTACTTAACATGCTGCATGCTATTGGTGTTACTATTACTCCAAACACCTAAATTATGAGGACACATTTTTTTTTTCCATTCTAGTGTAGCACAGGGAGCTCTGGTGGCCTAGTGGAAAGAATCCACACTGCAATCCTGAAGGCATGCAGTTCCAATCCACCAGCTGCTCTGTGGGAGAAAGACGGGCAATCTCCTTCTGTGCTATGAACTGCCTCTGAAAACGCACCACAGAGTCAGCTTTGGATTGGTTCTGACTTGATGGCACACAACAACACTGTAGCATAATGTGTTACCTGTTGGGTTGCTGACTGAAAGGTCAGTGGTTCGAATCCACTAGACACTCTGCAGGAGAAAAATGGATAGCCTCCTCTGGAAAAGACCTAAAGCCTTGGAAAGCAGAGGGCGAGTAATCATGAGTCACACTGACTCAACAGCAGTCACGTGGGGGTTTTGGTTTAAGTTCCCCTCCCCCCAGTGTCTTTACATTCCTAAGATCCTGCCTAGCTATTCTGCTTAGCCCATAGATCCTCCACCTGCCCACTCCACCCACCCTGACCAAACACTTCCTCCAGGAAGTACTCTTTGCCAGAGTAAAACGCACAGGACGTGGTTTTGCTCCACTGCTTTCATATTTCACACCCCCTCCAACTCTCATATTGAGCTCCTGCAAGGCCAAAATGTCTTGCCTTTCAGGGGCAATACGAGATGCCCGATTCAAGCTTTTGACTGCCAAGAACCATCCTCAGGCCACCACTGTTCCGGAGCTCAACATCAAGCACAAAATCCCCAGAGCATGGCTAGACATCAGGACAGTGTGTCTGCCTGGGTTTGCAAAACCTGGTCATTCCCTTGCAAAACATCTGTCCTGTACATCAAAGTACCTCAAAGGAGCCTATCTGGAGCCCATTTGATGAAAGCACACAATAACCAGAAAGCACTGACATTTCTCTCTTCACGTTTCCAAAATCCATTCCTTCTCCCTCTGCCAAGACATTCATCCATGCTCTAGTTATTTTCCACATCCGTGTCTTCTTTCTTTCCACAGCCCTTCTTGAGCGCTCTCTCTTCCACTATCTATCCAAAGCCTCTTTCCCCTCTGTGATCCATTTTTTCACATCCCCCTTGGTCCATTTACAGCTTTTACACTATCTCCACTATCTCCTTGTTCCCTGCAGTCCACTGAGGCCTTCAGGTTTTTTTCCCAACTCTGATTTCTCAAGTGTCTCTTCCTTGTTGGGTGTGGGGATTTTTCAGTGGAACTTTCTAGACCTCCTGCACAGATTCACACACCTGTGTGCTCCATCATTTCTGCCTCTGTGGGTAACCAGTGCCCTATAGACCGAGATCATCTGTTTAAGCTGAAACCCTATCATTTATTACAGCAGTTTTATTTATGAACCTGTGTGCTCAAATCTCATGGCATAAATATTAAATAATAACTCTCAGGTTAAAAAAAATCACTCATGTTAACTGACAACTTCTTATAAAGACAGGAAGTATACAGTTAACTCGTGAAATGTCAGGAAAAGCATGGATTTGTTCAACAGGTTGATACAAAGGGGAAATGACAATTTGCCTTCTCACCCCCTCTTATTTCAAGAAGTCAAAATCTATACCTTCAAGAATGTTTGGAAAAAATATACTAGGGCTGTCTGGTAAATGTTTTCAAAGTCTGATTATCTGCCAATATCTCTTCAGCAGCTTTTAGCTTTTAAAAAGAAAGGTTCCCCAAAATGACAATGCCATAAATGAATTCAGGACAATGACAACGCGGGGTTTTTTTGGGGGTTATTTTTCTCTTTTTTAGCATTCTGTGAATTTCCTATTACATCAGTTTCATGATTCAGCATTTTCCATTTCATTTATTTACAGAAATATATAGTGACATAGCCCAAGGTTTCTGCAGATTCTGGAAAATAAGGTTGCTTGAGTAAGGGAGGATGTCACCTTCGGAAAACTGACAATTGTTTTGGAGAATTCCAAAGAGAAGCACTCAAGCTCTCAAAGGAATTGAGAGATTCTTTCTCCACCTTGTTCTGAGGGTCTGACACTTCTCATTAAAATGAGCAGGCTTTCCAAAAGAAGATACTACCAGGACGCGGATGACTAAAAGAGAAACCCAGAAGTGTGCCAATTGTAAAAGGGAGGAAGGCGTCTAATGTATTCTTTGAAACGACAATGCAGAAGACGCGGCTAAAAGTCAGCACTCGGGCGGCAAGCGTGTTACAAAGAACTAGGTTTCTTTTTGGCAATCTGCAACTTGGTTGGAGTGGCTGAGGAGGAGGAGTAGTTGGAGAGCAGGAAAGGCGAGGCTCATCGCAGGGTGCGTTGGCGAAAAATGGTTCGGGCGGTGAGGACCCGGCGCAAACTATGGGAAGGGTGGAGGGTAGAGGCGGGAACCGAGAGAGAGCGGCGAAGTTGAGCAAGGGCAAGAAAGCAGCGGCGATCCGGAGGGGAGCCCGAGAAGGGTGGGGAGCAGGCTACGAAGAACGCGCCAGGACGCCAGGGATCTCTGGGTACCGAGGCTTCCAGGTGGGGTAGGAGAGAGGAAGGGGATTCAAAGGGAACCTAGCTCCCGGCCGGAGCGAGTCTGGGGAGCAGAGAAAGGGACACGAGCTAGAGCGCAACGCGGCCAAGTCCGCTGCACGCGCCCCTTTCTGCGCCCCAGTCCCCAACCCAGGTGCCCGGAGCGCCCGGGGCGCAGTGGCGAAGAAGCGAGCAAACTCGCACCGGTGTCCTCGCCCGGCGTGCCCGGGGTCCCCGGCCGCCCCCACCCGCGCCCCCGGGACCCCGCGCAGAGGGGAGGACCCGCGCAGGGCCAGCGCTCACCAGGTAGCAGAGCAGGAGCAGCGCGCAGGCAGGGGAGCCGCCGAGGCCCGGGGCGCCGCCGCCGCTCGCGGGGAC